TGAGATTCTCCTGGGTGCACTTGTCCTGGCTGGACCGGGCGCATGAGGCCATGTTGGGATACACCTGGTTGTAATAAACCGGGTTGGAGTGGATCCATTTGGCCAGGCTCTATTGGGTACACTAAGCCAGGCTGGGATTCCCCTGAACAAACTAGGCTGGGCTGGAGTGGGTGCACTATGCCAGGTTGGGATTCCTCTGGAGGCATATGACTGGGCTGGGCTGGATGTAGCTGTCCAGGGTGCACATGACCTGGTTGGGACTCCTGTGTACACACTATGGCAAGCTGGGACTCTCCTGGACGCATTAAGCCAGGGTGGAATGGGTGTACTTGGCCAGGCTGGAGTGGGAGAAGTTGACCAGTCTGAGATTGTCCTGGATGCACTCTGCTGGGCTGGTGTGGCAGAAGAAGACCGGGCCGGGACTGCCCATGGTGTACCAGGCCTAGCTGGGATCCTCCTGTATGCACTAGAACAGGTTGCGGCTGGTTGACACGGCGCATATTGTTCTCTGGGGTTGTGACATGCTCCTGTGGCTTGGGGCAGATCATGTTGATCTCATGAACAGCTACTACTCTTCCGTTCCTTGTTAGTTCCTCTAAATGGACTTTCAAGTGATGTATGCCATCCTAGAAAAATGTTAATCCAACATGTTACAATATAAGCTTTTAGTAGTCATATATTGGAACTACCAATTCTATAGAACCAGGCTGAACCGGTAGAATCCCACCCCTGACTCTCTATATATGAGTGCCTCACATCAGCAGGAGATAGTGATTGCTTGCAGGAGAAGTTGTTTTGCAAGTACTGCGCACGCAAAGCGCATGCTCACTGAACTGGTTGTTATGCTGGTAGGATCCCACCCCTGTATATAATGTCTGTTTGTCTGTCTGTCTGTCTGTCTGTCTGTCTGTCTATTTCAAGTTTTATCTAAATCTCTTTGGGTGTTTTTACATTAATTGCTATGCTTCAGAAAATGTTTTAACAGTAAAAAAAGTAAAAAAAAAACCATCTCCCATCTTTTAGGATGAGGATTTCCAAATCACAGTAGTTTGCAAGTATGGAATTTCCCTTCCATTTTTTTTTAACACAACTTGTTCCTCTTTGTAATTTATGAATAATGGGAGCCCCTGTAGGTAACCTGTAAGACATATAGGGTAGGGCAGACTTAAGAAACTAATTCTATATAGGGCTAAAAACACAATACTGTAGTAACAGAATTCCCCTCCTTCACTTTACCTTAATGTTAATTAGGGAGGGGGTTGTCTGATATGTTTTGTCCCTTTAGTTTCTTAGAATGGACTCAAGCTCTGCTTGTCTGATTGGTTTGGTAGCAACTCTAGCTTCTGTGCTTCAAAAACGATTCCCTGTGCTTTTTGCATTGCCCTTGAATTTGCTGGGGGTGGGAATGCAGATCCAGGTGACCACATAAATTATATTTCTGCCTTTCCCAGCATGGGGCCTTACTGAGGTTTGGGTGGCAGTTCTCCTAATTTCTAGCCTACATTGTTTTTGTTTGGAGCAAATTTCAGCCAAAAATATTTGATGGAGATAGATTGGGAAAAGCTCTTCTAAGTAGAAATTCAGAAGTACAATACATATGTCTACAGCTCCCCCCCCCCCCCAGCATTTTTCCAACAAAGTCTCACCTTCTTTATTACACCACAGCCATCATAGCCAGCAGAGAAGGCAACTGTCCTATTATGTGATGTGATCACGTGATGACAGAAGGGACAATTGGAAACTTCAAAGACTTTCCCAAATTCATCTGTTGACAAAAATTAATGCATTAACTAGCAAAGGCTATTTATCCAAAAAGTAATCCAAAAGTAATCCAGTAGCATTAATAGGCTCTGCAAATATGTGTTCTTTGGATTACTTACATATTCTTCACAACAACACCCCACCAATACTGAAGAGATATAAAGGCTAGAAGGAGATTTTTAAAAACCATTTCTGAAATTTGTATTTGTTATAGATTCCATGAATTCTTTCAGCTTCCTCTACAGTACAGTTAAATAAAAACTAACTTTGGACTACAATTTACAGAATTCTCTCTGATAACTATACCAGCTAGAGAATTCTGGGAGTTGAAGTTACCTCTCAGAAAGAGGAGGCTATAATAGTCATAAATTAGTTTGTTTGGTCCTATGGCTAATTCCAGCCATAAGGGTTGTAAATCATACCGTGGTTCATTGTAGGAACCAACTAATTATAGTTTATTTGAAAAACTTCATTTATGTGAATCAAGACAGTCTCTGAGCTGGCATTCTTATAGGAGGTGTTTATCTGAAAACAAATTCTACAAGAATTGAATGCTAGATTAAATAATATCAAGAAAGAAACTACAGAAACCTTAGCAAGTAATAGCAAGCAGCTTTGTTTAAAAAGCTAAGATTTGTGAATAGCTTTCCTGGCTTTGCATTTCTAAACCTCCAATTTCACTCCCCAAGGACTATGGAATCATTTCTTACACATTCCTACAAGTTGCTAATCTTTCCTAGTACTTTAATTTCCTTGTAAAATTTCCTGTCCCTATTAAATAAACCAGATTATCTAGCCAAAATTATGTTAGAAGGAAGCTGCTTGTGAATCATGGATTGCCAATAGCTTGTTTTCCTCTTGCTCTTTTCACTATAATTTCATGCTAATTGCCTTACAAGTTCACTAATTGTAGGGCAATTAGCATGTCATATAAGACCCAGGGCAATGTGGGTTTAAATCCCTCTAACCACAATACTCTCTGGGTGACCCTGGCCAATAAACAACCGAGAATAAAATATGAGAGGTGAAAGAAGACTTAAGGTGATGCCTTTTAATACAGTTTGTTAGTTGGAAAAAGTGTTGCCAGGCTCCTTCCAATTGCTGCTTCTTTAGATCAACACCCTGCTATAGAATGCCAGCAGAAGTTGTTAGGAAAGCCTACATCTAATTCCGAGTTGTAGAAATGGCAATTAGATATTCTGAGTCAACTTGATATCAACTCTTCACTCACAGGGAAAAAGTTATCTCACGTCCTTTTGCTCAGTAATACTAAATACAGGAGTAGCCACCACACCCACCCACCCCAAAAAGGATTACTATGTGTTGTAAACATGAAGTCCCCTACAGCCCCTAGAGTCATCTTGTTACAAGAGATGTTACAACTCCAATTTAGTATTTTGCAGGAAAACAAGACTATTGTCCTTACCCACAACTTTAAAGCGGACCGCTTGGCTGGGACTGGGGTACACAAGCAATTGCAAACCATGGTCTCCGCACCGATAGAGATACTGGATGGCTTCTGTACCAGCTTTCCAAAAGTCTGCTTGTCCATGACATAACCCCAGAATCACCAGGATTACTAAACCTAGAGAGCCACTACAACCCCAGCCCATGGTTGTAGCAGCCAAAAAAAACAAATGCTGCACCAACAAGTTGCTACTGCTGGTAAAAACAGAAGGGAGGGAGAACTGAAACTATAAAAGAACAAGGGGGGAGGTGGATTGGCTGAAATGAAAATTTACCCAGAAGTGTCTGCACCTGTGGATCTGCAAAGGCCAAGTGAGGGATAGGGTCAAAAGAACAAAACTCAACCAAAAGAGAAGCATATAGTATTCATCCAACAACACTTCCCTTCCACTTTTTTCTTTCATCCTTTCTTTAGGAGTTATTGCAGATTAAAGAATGAGGCAATCTACACAAATTTGGAAGCAAATTCTACTAAATTCAGTTCTACTAAACTAAGTTTTGCATAGACTTTAGAAGCAGGTGTATTGTCTCAGTTCTTTACATTCCTCCCCCCACCCCCACCCCTTATGCTGCCCCCTTTTCTGAGACTGCACACTTTCATTTTCTTTGAAGTTTTTAGGGCAAACAAATTTAGCAAGATAAGATTGGAATAGCTTCTGTTGAATTTCATCCTATTACACAGTGCCGCTGTTTCTACTCTGCAGGGAAACTATGTCTGCCAGAGATTTGTTATGAAGGGTGCAGGTTAAATTATTTTTATGATGCATATAGGTTTTTAAAAGAAATTAATCAGCAGCCCGCAATATTATAATGTACAAAGTACTCCAGTCCACACCATGGAGCCACCCCTAGCTTTCCATTTTTCTTTGTCTTGATACTAATTTAGTCTTGATTAGACAGTTTTAGATTTCATCCCTGAGTTTTTTCTTTTTCCTTGAATCTCTTTTTGTCTTTCTGCAAATTTTAGAGTTACTCAATTTATACCTCTCTTTTGTGATAAACTGAGCCCAAAGATTGGAAGATGAAAATATTATTAGCTTGGAAATGAAAGAAGTGTTTCAGCCTCTATTTTCTGGTAGGATGTTGTTTATTGTATTCTTTCCGTTATATTCATGGATTTTATAATTTGTACCATTTGGGCATATGGTCACATTACTTACTTTCTAATTTATATTGCTTTTCTCTGCCTTTCTCTAAGTTGCATCCTGACCCTAAACACCACTGAGGTAAATGATTGCAATCTTTCCATTTAGTATGTTTGATATATTTGTTCCAGTCATGATTTGGCCTGCAAAAATGCAGGTGACCACTAGATGGCCCAAAGATATGTGACTAAAAGCCTAAATGTTAATAAACACAAGTCATAATTACGATCAGAGTTTCTAAAGTTCTTAAAGATCAGAGGATCCAAACTTTGAAAAAGATGGCCAAAAAATTAATGTTGAGAAACTAAAAATCATCACCTACTCCGGAGGGGATTTTCAAGTGCAATAAAAAAGACACAGGTTCACAGCATGAGAGTTACACATATTTCCCATGATCCCTGAATTTATTGTTCCAATTTCACCCCATGTCCACTGGATTAAGAGTGTTTTTTCTGCAATGTGAAATCGGGAGGGATGAATCTTTCATTTTAATATTGCTACTAGGAACCTCCAACCATCATTATCTTTAATTCTGCTTCTTCTCAAATAATGTTACCACTAGAATCTGGTGAACCTCCATATGTTAGTTATATCATATTTGTACTCCCAAATGCCTTGCCAGGAAATGAGTCTGTTAAACCAATGTGGGAATGGATCTTGCTGAAAGTTTTGGGAAGTAGGGACCATCAATCCAATAATGCTGTATTGTACTAAATATGCTCTTCTCTGAAGTATTGGAAATTCTTCCACAACTTACACAGAGTTTGAAGAATTTCAGAGTTTCCAGTGGTTGCTTTCAGCAGTCTGTTACTTCATAAACCAGTGATTGCAAGGTGAAATAATCACATCCTACCTCCTCACTTTTCAGAGGAATTAAACTTCTCTAAAATGCCAGATTTGACTTGAATGAAGGCATATTTTTGCTTCAAGAAAGTTTATTTTAAGAGGTTAATCAGTTTCCTGGTTATTGCTGGCTATTGCTTTGGATTTATGTAAAGTGTTTGCTAAACAACTAATTCTCCTCCTTTCCCCCAGAATGCAGCCATTCTTAATTTCATAATATGCTTGTACTTTCTATCAAAGCGTGTTTCTGTTTAGATTTCTTGAACAGCTGCTTCTCTACCAGTAAAACAAATTTGATTAGCTCTGCAATTTATTTTAAAAAATGTGAGAGCTGCTACAAACATGCTGGAATCAGATAACATTTTTTTCCAGTGAAAAAGTTTATCACTGTTCAAAGATACTCCCTTTTGAAGATGGTGGGACCAGCAATAAAGTTCTGACTTCAATTACAAAGATGTTTGCTAGCCAGCAAGGCAGAGGTAGGTTTTTATATTACATTCATCCTCTTCCATTCCTCCAGCTCCACCATTCAAGGTAATTTTATTTTATTTATATCTTGACATGCACCATGGTTGCAATTCAGCCTGATTTTGACAAAATATTTGACAAAGAATTGCATTACATTTTGGATAGCAAAAGAGGCTTACTACAGGTTAAGTGGATTTGTGTCCGGTTGGAAAACATGTTGAAAGAGTAAAGAAATATCTTCTATTAGTAAAATTTCTAATTTTCTTATAGATGTTTCATTACCCAAGTAGGTTACATCACCAGTGCTAGTAGAGAGCAGTGTTTGCAAGAGAGAGCACCAAGGACCCCACAGAGTAAAGTTAGCCCTGGTTCTTCAACAGACTGGAAAGAGGAAGCTTGAGTGCCATTGCTGCAAGATTCCATCCTAAGTTTTACATTATTCAGTGTTTGTTTTTATCAAATATGCAACTGATGGAAGTAGTTTCTAAATTCTTTAATGGAATGGAAAATTGACCAAAATCAAACAGCCTATTATGTATCAGCATAAAAGATATTTCAGTTTAAGACTATGGCAGTATGTTGAATGGTCAGCAATTTTGCAAGAAAAGCAAAAGAAAATCATTACACATGGGTAATCATAGAGCTGCTCAGGAAAAACGGGGAATATAAACTCTTAAAGTACAAGAAAATATATGAAATGATTCTTTAGCATTCTCTCCTGACTGCCATAGATTTTAAAAACACAGCATTAGTCTGGAAAGCCAATTTGGATGAACATAAGAACTTTTTCCAAACTAGAGAATCAAAAAATGAATGGGAGAATCATTACAAGAGATTGTTTGCTTCCTATCCCACCCAGGACAATTCTCAGATTAATCCAAATCTTATTCTGTAGCCCCCTGTAGCCCCCCTAAAAGAAATTGAACCTCTGATTCTGACTTTGTCTCAGGCAAAGCCCCAGGAGAAGATTATACCCATGGAGATTCATTAAAAGTTAATGCTGTTTGGTGGAAGCCTATTTTGGTTGAACTTTTTAATAACATTAACTCTTCATACCAACTCCCTGAAGAGGAGTTGCAGTGCAAGCCTTAGTGACCCCCATATGAAAAAAAGGTAATCCTCTGGGGAATTGTAAGCCAATTAAGGTGATTAACATCACAGCCAGATGTATGCAAAACATCTAGCTAACAAATTAGAGGATTGAGTCACTGAAACAATGTATTTGCAGAGTAGCAGGCAGGGGTTAGAGTAGAATACTCAACAATTTTGCATTGTATGATTTTATAAATATGTTTGTAAAACTTGCCTTCAAGAAATAAATTGTTGTCCTTGTGGGTTTCTGTGCTGCTTTTGATTTTTATCAGTAGAAACAAGCTATAGTTTAAATTAGATAGAAGGCTATTGATATTAATCATGATTGTGTTTAATACACAGGCATTCAAACTCAGATTAGGGTCATCCCAGGAGGACATCTGATCACCTCCAACAAAATACAGATTTCTAAAGGATGTGTGCTTGCACTGCTCCACTTTCATCTATGTATTAATTAGGTCATCCCAGCTCTGAATGAAGAATTTTGTTTCTCCAGGAAATGTGGGAAATGGGAACTTGTCCATATTACCTTATGCAGATGATTTTTTGCTTCCCTGTTACTCTCAGATAAGCTTGCCCAGACAGTTAAGGGCACTGGATTGTTATGGTTCCTCAAATTTTTGAATCCTAAAAAAGCAAAAGTGGTGGAATGGGGGAGAATGGGTAGGCATATGTTAAGTGCATATGTAGAGCAATTGATGTGATGGAATGTGCAGAGGGGGAGGACTTTGGCAACCCAGAGATTTCCTTGAAAGAGGCTAGATTAAGACGCTGTGCTGAAGGGGGGAAGAGGTTTACAGAAACCTTCCTAGAATCTCTCAGGATATATCTTGAAAGTTAGAAATAGTGTTGGAAGAATTATCCTTCTGGGTTCAGTTCCAAATGGGGAAAAAGACACTGGAAACATGGAGGCTATTTGGAAAGATGGTTTAATGGTGGACAGGACCACATGGCTTGAAGCTCCAAAGAAGGATGACCACATGCTCCAAGGTGAAGGAAAAGAGAAGGAAGGCCAAGATGCTGAGAGACCCTTATATGCCCTCTGTTGTGCCCCACCTTAGTGTTTCATGTTCCTGTGCAAGGAATGTATCCCATTGGCTGTCAGATTCCCAGGGACGGGGGTCTTAACTTTGTAGGCTTGGTCTGGACCACATGGCTTCACCTGAGTGTTGGCTGATACAATCTTCCCAGGCCAGGTGGTAAGATGTGGGTAGAGGCCTTTATTATGTAGAGTACTCTGGCCTAGATCTTAATGGCCCATTAGCAAAGGTGGGGGTGCTGAGTTTCTGCCTTTCTGAGGTGAGTTTCTGCTTCTGAGTTTCTACATTTTTTAGGGGAAATATTCTGCCGTTTAAATATTTCCCAGGATATTTCATTTTTCTAGGACAGGGGTGGGTGCTAACTTCCTACAGTAGTTTGGCAAGCTTCTGCCCATTACGTGTGAGCAAATAAAAAAACTGAACTCAATTGGAGCTTACTGTCTTGTCTCTGAGCTTGGGCCTAATAATTTGTATAGGCAAATAGAGGTATTTCTTGTACTATATGTGCAAAGGGATCCACACCACTAACTCTTTATTCATCTTCCACAGTACTGTTGG